GAGTGTGCAGCATGACAGAGGAGCTGACAGAGAGCAGAGCTATGACATGACGTTGTTATTCTGTCATTTTATCAATTTTAATTTTGTTTTGTTTTTTAACTTCTATTGCTTGCTTCATTTGTTTCACTCATGTTATGGTACTTTGGTCTACCTACGAATATTTTAAATGTTTTTTATAATAAAATGGCACTGACTTCTGGACATCTTGTAGTCCCTGTTCCTCATTTGGCCTTTAAAGATAGTACTTCCTAAATATTAAAAAAAGCTAAGGTTCTTAGACAAACAGTCATGCCAATAACAGTTTATTAACAAATAAATAAATTCATTATACAAAAACAAACAAAAAGAAAACTCTTCTAATATTCATAGTGTAGAGAATACACGTTTAAGAGCTGCAGACCTCAAACACAATCAATGTGATTATGATAATGTTTTGTAATTTAACATTACACAATGTATTTAACAATGTTCCAAAACTTTCAAAATGACAATCTTTAAAAAAATAAAGGGGAAAAAAAAAAGACCAAAAACTTGTTTGTTTTAGGACAATTATATTTGTCTTGGTAGTTCCCGGGCACCCTAGAGAGCAGCTCTCTGCTCCACACAGAGGGCTGTGGCAGCATGGTGGTTGTGTCAGGAAGGACAGCCGGTGTAAAAATAATTTCCAAGTCTTTGTGCAAGTTAGTTCACAGTGACAACCCCTGAAGAAGGGAGCAGCCGAAGGAAGAAAAAAGTTAGTCTTGGTAGTTAACAAGTGGTTCAATGATGTCCCCCATCGTGAGGGATTGAACAGAGAATGAAGTAAACCTTAAGGTTTTTGGTGAAAGATATTCAAGTGGGGAGGACTTACACTTTTGAGAAGTTGTTGATTTATTTTCAGCTTGTTTTTATCCACCACCAGGTGCAGTGGAGGCAGCAGGGGGTGGCCAATGGTGGCCTTGGCCATCATAGATTAATCTTCAGCCACCCCGATCATTTAAGGAAATTATACTTTTAAGCAATTTAAAAACTAGAAAGAATAGTTTTCAGATGATTGTGGTGACTAGTTTATAAATATATATGGCGGTGGCCATCTTGGATTTTGACATGGCAACCCAATTTTAAAAGGAACGTTTCCTGACGCAGCCACACACCAAAGTTGAAGCACTCGTTTTTTAACTTATGCTAAAGACATGCATGGACAGATAGGTTATTTCCAATTCCCCTCTTTGCTCCACTATATATCACACTTGTTTATATCGAAGTGCAGGCAGGCAAGGAAAGCAGCAATTACGTCAGAAGGCATGGCAACAAAACTTACACAGACCATAATGCGAACAAGAACACGACTGGACAGATCAGGGAGCAAACAGGCACAAGACAGACTGAGGCAGACCAGGACATCTGTAGCTGAACTGAACAACAAGCGGATGTCTTTGTGGTGAAGAGGAGAGGTTTAAATAAGGCAGAGAGATGAGAGCACCTGGGATGATTGCTGATTGGTAACTGGTGTGAGTGATGAGTGGCCGGAGAGACAACGTGACAACACAAGGATCAGAAAAGGAAACAAAGACAATAGAAACACAAAGAAAACAGGCAAAAGGACACGTTACCGTATTTTCCGCCACACAAGTCGCACCGGCACATAAGTCGCATCCGTCCAAAAATGTCTAATAAAGTGGAAATAAACATAAATAAGTCGCTTTGCCGTATAAGTTGCATTTGTTATGTTATGTTACCGCTGACCACCTGGAAATGTGGGCCGGTGTCATTTGTGCCAAAAATTGATTAGCTGCCAAATGGTGGCCACGGGAGTGTGCACGGGAGGACTTTAACAAGAATTTACAAGACTAACACTATAAAACAATTATTTGTTTGATCGAGATTATAACAAAGGTGTGTCTCAGTTGAACTTTTCCTTAATAAATTCACTTTAACGGTCAGAACAGCTTCATTTCGCCTGGATGCTGGTGTTCCTCCCCGCTCTGCTGCCGGAGCTGAGACTAAGGCTCCGGCTGTGAGATCTGGAGCCTTCGTCCGCCCGTACCTCGCAGGGGCCACAGAACACGCGCTCCGCTGCTCCCGTCCTCCTGGCTCGGATGGTGGAGTAAGGCTGTTGAGCTTGCAGCCAGAGCTGCGATAGATCGATCGATCGATCGACAAATGGAAGGATGATGAATGATGGACAATAACTCAACTCTAATCTTGTTTTTGAGACAAGTGAACATTTTGATTCATTCGATACTAAAATAACTTTTAATACAAGTTTTATTGAAAACATCTGAAAGTGGCCTCTCCTGTTGTGCTGCTGCTTCTGTTCTGTATATTTTTATTGTTGGTGCTGCGCTGACCACCACCAGCTGGGTGTTTTGTTTCAAATTTAGATGGAGATAAATCCCAAACACAGGCCCAGGGAGTGAAACACCGGCTTGTTTACTTCTTGTGTATTCCACTTCCTGTCAGGCTTTATGTAATGCAACCACCAACAGGAAGCTTTTAGGAGTTTAAAACAGGAGTCAGTTTGTTGTTGATGCTCGTGGTTGGAGGCAGGGAGGAACAGCCGTTTCATCTCCGAGCCACAGAACAAATCCTAAAATTAGCCATGTAAACTTACGTACTATTACAAGTGTGTTGGGTTCTATGAAAGTCGGTTGCGGGACCAACAGCCATCCTGAAAACCAAACATCTCCATCTTCTCATGATTTTGTGGCAGCAGAGGAGAAACAGTGATGGAAGCTGTTTTTTTAACAGGGATTTGTGCTGTTTAGCTTTTTTCTGCTCTGTTTGTGGGCACAGATCGGGTTTAAACAAGCGTAATCTGCTAATGAGGCGGGGGAGGGCTGAGGGCAGATGTTGGCTGTGGCGAGCTCGTGGCGAAAACAAAGAATGTCACGGAGCAAAACGAGGTTTGCGGGCCAGAGCACAGGACTGGATTAAAGACCAAGAGGACTCACTCACTGAGATTTCTTTCTTTCTTCTATAGTGACACAAAATTTTAAAGTTAATTGTCAGAGAATGAAAATGCTACCAAAGAAGAGGGTTTTTTTAAATCTTTACAACCAAAATAAGTGTATTCACTTGGTATGTACTTCTTGTTGCTATGGTGATGAGCAGGTGGACAAATGGGGTCCCCATTAACAGATGTTTGCAGATGACATTGAGAGCTGTAAGGAGAGGAGCAGGTGGAAGAGAATCTGGAGAGATGCATGGGTGGGCAACATTTTTTCCAGAAGGAACAAATCAAAGGGCCATATAGGGAATTGGAAAATACATTTTCTTTAAGACAGATAATCTAAAAGACTTTTGTCCACCTCTTCCTAGTTGTAGCATAGTTAGCATGCTTGACAAAAATACTGTATATCTCCCCAATACTTTTTAGGAATATGAGAATAAAAATATATTCTTTCACGTGGAGGGTGCAGGACTTAAAGGTTAAAATGACAAGAAAGACTGGCCCCATTCTGGCTTTGACTTCCAGGTTCACATCAGAGATCTATCAGCAAATACAGTCAGCGGAGGGACATTAGATATATCGGACAATGGATGCTGAACATAAAGTACCAACGAGGAGGAGAAGAGGAAGACCACAGGGAAGGTTCATGGATGTAGTGAAGGAGAACATGCAGAGGGTTGGTCTGACAGAGAATGACAGGACATGCATTTCACTGTACTTCTCTTATACAATAAAGCTATTAAATGTCTTAACAAGGTGAACTCTGATTGTTCTTGAAATGTTTCTGCCACTGAGCAACAAACATTAAATAAATTTTCACACTCTGTCCTCCCTGCAGATGCAGCCATTCCTGTGGGCATCGATGTGCAGGTGGAGAGCATCGACAGCATCTCCGAGGTTAACATGGTGAGTCTTCACGTGCCGCTCAGCTGCTGAAGCTCCAAACTTCAGTTCTTTTTACTGTCCACAGTCTGAGTGATAAACCTGCAGAGAGCTTCCTGTTGGTGCACAAAAAGTATTCAGATACTCCTGTTGCTGACATTTCAGAAAACAAAAGAATGTCTCACGTCATTTTCTGACTTTGCTCTTTATTTCCTAATTTTTGTTGTGAAGGCAGAAGGAAATGCACACAGTCATGATGAAGCCACAAAACACAAGCCTGTGTCCCTCATCTCTGAAGGATTTGATTTGAATACTGAATGTTTGTAGTTTTTGAGACGAGTGTTTATCTGGACTGGAATACCACAAGAAATGCAAGATAACCTTAAAATTTTGGTGCAATATATTTAAGTTGGTAAGAGTTACACTGTGGAGAAGAACAGAGGGGCTTTCTTTTTTATGTCTGAAGCGGTGCTGATGGTGAAGCAGTGCTTATGCAGATGGATCCTGATGGAGCAACTTAATTGAACACTAGGCACAATGGCGGTACCAGGAAGTGGTCAATGGTGGCCTTGGTCAGCAAAGATTTATATTCGGTCACCTCGATCGTTTGAGGAAACAAAATTTTTAAGTGATTAAAAAAAATAGAAAGCATAGTTTCATCAAATGACAGGGGTGACTCATTAACACACACACACACACACACACACACACATAAATGTTTGTGGCCATCTTAAATTTTGACATAGTAACTGAGTTTTCAGTCGTGACTTTGCTTTCATTTAAATGCAGCCACACACCAAGGTGGAAGTCAACAAAGTATTTATTTTTGAAGGGATCCAGCTCACAACATGGGCAGAGTATTTGCATTTTCCTCTTTTGACTCTGTGATGGAGGACAACAAAAACCAAACAAAAACAAAAAAAGAAAATATAGCAGTGATGCCCAATACATGGATTGTGAACTACTGGTCAATCTCAAAGGTATTATGGGTAGATGGCATGGCGTTAGAAAATAGACGTCAGCTGATCATCCATCTATGAAATGTGCCACTTCATTGACAGATAGGCAGCCAGTCTGATAGATCACTTTGACTTGTTTCTTTTTTTATTTAAAGTAGCTCACAAGCTTTCACTCTGCAGATGTTGGACACTGTCTATCATGGTCCAAAAAATGTAGAAACATTTTGTCTCTCATCCGAAAGACTTCCTCAGTCTGAGGTGCTGTATTCAGCTCAGTCTTTTAAATAGCACCGTCTCAGAGTGGATCAACCAGTTTTGCTGCTGACAACCAAAAACCAGCTGATCACATGGTCAAGAAGGACCATCAGCCTAACAATGGATCATTAGCACACTGATGGCTGTTTACTATTCACAGAGGGCTGAGTGATACTAGCAATCACAGCATTGTAAGAGGGGGACAGTTGAACCTGGAGGCCTCCACCCCTGTTTAACGATGGACGATTTATTTTCACAAAGATGGCCTCCTTTACTCCTCTCTCAACCATCGTTCCTCTCTATCCAGGATGTGAACATCTTCATCCCTGAAAGAGTGACCGCTGGCCTGGAGATGAGTGTAGACCGCAGAGTCCTGGCCTGATGATGTTGATCTTCTGTGCTGGGCCATCCTTTTGGCCAGTGGCTGTTTAGTTTCCCCGATGTAAGACTGATCACAGCCCTCCTGACACTGAACAGCGTACACAATATTACTCTGTTTGTGCCGGGGGACTGGATCTTTGGGATGAACCAGTCTTTGCCGTAATGTATTTTGGGGTTTAAAAGCCACTGGGACGTTATGTTTAGAAAATAAACGTCTCAGTTTCTCTGATACTCCCTCAACATACGAAATGACCACTGGTCTGGATCTGGGTTCCTCCTTTTCACCTGATGGCTGACTGGAGTCCTGTTTGGGTTTCTTCTCTGCTTCTGCCTCTGATAGAGGACATTTGCAAATCGAGGTGTACCGCAAACCTACCCACTCAGACCAGTATTTTCAGTTTGACTCCCATTACCCTTTGGAGCACAAGTTAGGAGTCATCAGGACTCTGTATCACAGAGCAGACAGCATCCCCACTAACTCCGGAGCCAGGCAGAAGGAGAAATCCTACACAAGACAGGCTCTAGATCAATGTGGATATCCTAACTGGGCCTTCCTGAAAGCAGAGAAGAAACCCAAACAGGACTCCAGTCAGCCATCAGGTGAAAAGGAGGAACCCAGACCCAGACCAGTGGTCATTCCGTATGTTGAGGGGGTATCAGAGAAACTGAGACGTTGATTTTCTAAACATAACGTCCCAGTGGCTTTTAAACCCCAAAATACATTACGGCAAAGACTGGTTCATCCCAAAGATCCAGTCCCCTGGCCCAAACAGAGTAATGTTGTGTATGCTGTTCAGTGTCAGGAGGGCTGTGATCAGTCTTACATCGGGGAAACTAAACAGCCACTGGCCAAAAGGATGGCCCAGCACAGAAGATCAACATCATCAGGCCAGGACTCTGCGGTCTACACTCATCTCCAGGCCAGCGGTCACTCATTCAGGGATGAAGATGTTCACATCCTGGACAGAGAGGAACGATGGTTTGAGAGAAGAGTAAAGGAGGCCATCTTTGTGAAAAGAAATCTTCCATCGTTAAACAGGGATGGAGGCCTTCGGGTTCAACTGTCCCCCTCTTACAATGCTGTGATTGCTAGTATCACTCAGCCCTCTGTGAATAGTAAACAGCCATCAGTGATCCATTGTTAGGCTGATGGTCCTTCTTGACCATGTGAGCAGCTGGTTTTGGTTGTCAGCAGCAAAACTGGTTGATCCACTCTGAGAAGGTGCTATTTAAGAGACTGAGCTGAATACAGCACCTCAGACTGAGGAAGTCTTTCGGATGAGAGACAAAATGTTTCTACATTTTTTTGCTTTGTTTATTTTTTGTTTTGTTTTTTGAATGTCCAGAGGACCAGATTGAACTTTTTTGGATTTTTCTACCTGGATTATTGAGCATGCATCAGGATGTCTATCATGGTGCGCTAAGATTCACACAAGAGCACATTACACCAGTTTTGGCCTCACTGCACTGGTTACAGGTTCACTTTCGAATCCAGTTCAAAATACTCATGTATGTCTACAAATCACTGAACAGTTTCACCCCCCTTTATATCTCTGATCTGCTACAACCGTATGTCCCACCACATTCCCTGAGGTCAGCAGACCAGTTGCTCCTCACAGTTCCAGGAACTCATCTTAAGCGCAGAGGTGATGGGGCCTTCTCTGTAGCAGGACCAAGACTCTGGAACGAGTTACCTCTGCTTGTCAGACAGGCCCCCTCTGTCACGAATCAAGGTTTTGGATTCAATATAAGCCAGACACAGGAGTGCAAAAATTAACAGTTTTTGTTAATAAGGCTGCTGGTAGCTGCAGAGGGAGGCCTTTAATGCTATGGACAGTGGGGCAATGAAACTTTGTGGTCCAAAGGGCAATCAAAAAGGGTGATCCGTGAGTCGAGGTCATAGACTGAAGAGGAGGTCGTTACCGTGGTCAGAGAGGCAGAACAGAACCAGATGAGGAGCAGGCAAAAAAACAGGAAATCCAGAAGGCAGGTGTGAGGTCAATAATCCAGAGAACAAGGCTTGAGGTCTAGGCATGAAACTATGAGGGCTTGAAAATCAGGGACCATGGAAGGTGTAATAATCTCGCACTGTTGGAGAGGGAAAATGGATCTTATGAAGGGTGCAGAGCAGGTGAACCAGATGAGCTGAACAGGTGAGTGGAATCAGGGCTGATTGCTGTGATAAGCTGAGGGGGTGTGGTGAAGTGAGCAGGCAGAGGTGCAGGTTGACTGGAGATGAGAATAAACATGAACAGAAACTATGACCAGAATGGCAGAAAACATAGTATGTCATGAAGGGGCAGGGAAGTGAGCAGATGTGGACCAGCAGGGGCCGCTGATCATGACACCCTCCCTCTCGGTTTTCAAGTCCCATTTAAAAACTCACTACTATTCAGTAGCATTCAACACCAGAGGATCTCTGTTTTGAATCTGTATGCTCCACACTGGTTTGTCGTCATTATCTGCATCGTTTTTTTTTTTGTCTATATTTCTGATTTACAAACCGGATTCCAAAAAAGTTGGGACACTAAACAAATTGTGAATAAAAACTGAATGCAATGATGTGGAGATGGCAAATTTCAATATTTTATTCATAATATAACATAGATGACAGATCAAAAGTTTAATCTGAGTAAATGTAATATTTTAAAGGAAAAATATGTTGATTCAAAATTTCACAGTGTCAACAAATCCCAAAAAAAGTTGGGACAAGTAGCAATAAGTGGCTGGAAAAAGGAAATTGAGCATATAACAAACAACTGGAAGACCAATTAACATTAATTAGGTCAATTGACAACATGATTGGGTGTAAAAAGAGCTTCTCAGAGTGTCAGTGTCTCTCAGAAGCCAAGATGGTAAGAGGATCACCAATTCCACCATTGTTGCACAGAAAGATAGTGCAGCAATACCAGAATGGTGTTACCCAGCGTAAAATAGCAAAGACTTTTAAGTTATCATCATCAACCGTGCATAACATCATCAAAAGATTCAGATAATCTGGAACAATCGCTGAGCGTAAGGGTCAAGGCCATAAAACTCTACTGGATGCTCGTGATCTCCGGGCCCTTAAACGTCACTGCACCTCAAACAGGAATGCCACTGTCAAGGAAATAACAGAATGGGCTCAGGAATACTTCCAGAAAGCATTGTCAGTGAACACAATCCACCGTGCCATCCGCTGTTGCCAGCTGAAACTCTACAGTGCAAAGAGGAAGCCATTTCTAAGCAAGCTCCACAAGCTCAGACGTTTGCACTGGGCCAGGGGTCATTTAAAATGGAGTGTGGCAAAATGGAAGACTGTTCTGTGGTCAGATGTGTCACGATTTGAAGTTCTTTATGGAACACTGGGACGCCATGTCATCCGGACCAGAGAGGACAAGGATAGCCCAAGTTGTTATCAACGCTCCGTTCAGAAGCCTGCATCACTGATGGTATGGGGTTGCATGAGCGCTTGTGGCATGGGCAGCTTGCATGTCTGGAAAGGCACCATTAATGCAGAGAACTATGTTCAGGTTCTAGAACAACATGTGCTCCCATATAGACGTCATCTCTTTCAGGGAAGACCCTGCATTTTTCAACACGATAATGCCAGACCACATTCTGCAGCAATCACAACATCATGGCTACGTAGGAGAAGGATCCGGGTACTGAAATGGCCAGCCTGCAGTCCAGATCTTTCACCTATAGAGAACATTTGTCGCATCATAAAGAGGAAGGTGCGACAAAGAAGGCCCAAGACGATTGAACAGTTAGAGGCCTGTATTAGACATGAATGGGAGAGCATTCCTATTTCTAAACTTGAGAAACTGGTCTCCTCTGTCCCCAGACGTCTGTTGAGTGTTGTAAGAAGAAGGGGGGGTGCCACACAGTGGTAAAAATGGACTTGTCCCAACTTTTTTGGGATTTGTTGACGCCATGAAATTTGGAAACAACATTAAGTGCTCTATAAATAAAATGGTCTGATATGGTATGGTATGGTAAAATTCATAACTGTTTGTAACTATCGTACCCATCACTGCACCCTGTATTCACTGGTTAACTGTACATCATTGACTTCACGCAGACTCTCCCACTGGTACATTTTCATATTTAATCACTTCTTGGTCTGCTCCCTTCATACATCTCCTCCTACATGTCTCTGTGTGAGTGCAGCTACAGCTCAGGACATTATTACCTGCAGTGTTCTCTCAGTGAGGACTGAACTAGGTAAAAGGGCCTTCTCCTACTCCGCTCCTGTTTCCTGGAATATCTTACAAAAAGATCTGAAGCTCTCGACCTTGACCTCTTTAAGTGGCTTCAAACATCTGTTAAGTTCCTGGGAAAATTCAATGCAGGCATGTTCCCGTTTTTAGTTTTCTACATCGCTTTATAATGTAGCTGTTTTTGTTATATAAATTTCTTCCATTTATTTTTCATTTTAAATGCTTTTTCATGATTGTATTCTGTTGTCCTCTGTGTTCGTTGTTAAACAGGTCTCTCTTGTAAATGAGTCCTCGTGACTCACTGAGACTAACCTGTATAAATAAAGGTTGAATTGAATGAAAAAATGCTGAAAAAGTCTGGGTACCCCTGAAATAGAGCTTTGATGAAGCTCCAGACTTGTGGGATTAAACAGAAGCATTATCCACAACAGGAGAAGGCATGGGACAGTGGTAAACCTTCTCAGGAGTTTCTGGCCAAACAAAATGGTCCAAAAGCACATCAACAACTTTTTAAGAAGGTCCCAACGTCTAAAGCTCTACATGCCTTACTGCCTCAGTGAAAGTTCATGGGTCAACATGGGCTGAAGGACAAAAATGGACTTCATGAGAGAGTAGAAGGCCAAAACTCAGTCATTGAGCACAAATAACACTTAAACATTGTGGTGTGATGGTCTGCTGCTGCTTTTCTGCTTCAGGATGTGAACAACTTACTAAAACTGTTAGAACCATGAATAATGTCCTCTGAAGTAGAACGTCCACCCATCAGTTTGTGAACTTCAGCTGAAGAACACTTGGGTTCTACAGCAGGATGATGCTCTAATGTTCCTCCACACCATGTCAGAGTCACAAAAGCTTGATGGTGGTTGTTTCCACCTTCTGTGGAACAACCAATAATCAGTTTTATAGGTAAATTACTTTTTTACGTAGTTCCAAGTTAGTTTGAACAGATTTCTTAAAATTTAATAAATAAAATAAAAACTAGAACTTCAAGCAGCTGTTACCAAGGGCCAAGCCACTTGATGCTTGTGGATCCTGGCTAATCTCATCTCCAGAACTCCTACCAGACCTGCAGTTCAATGAGGAGAAAACATGTGGTCTTCATGAGGGCCAAACGTCTCATCAGCACTTTTTTCTTGTTTGTTTATTTTGGCAAAGCAATTTAATTTGTTTCTACTTATTTAAGCTTTTCCCTCTTCAGGGTTTTTTCCACAGCGAGTCATCTTCCATCTTCTTCTGTCCTCACTCCATCTACCTCCATGTCCTCTCTAACTGCATCCATTATATCTCCTCAATTGTCTTCCTCTTTGTCTCTTTCCTGTCAGCTGCATTTCTAACATCCTTCTACCAATATACCCACTGCCCCTCCTCTGGACAAGTCCAAACCACTGTCCCTCCTCTGGACAAGTCTAAACCACTGTCCCACCTCTGGACAAGTCCAAACCACTGTCCCTCCTCTGGACAATCCTAAACCACTGTCCCTCCTCTGGACATGTCCAAACCATCTCAGTGTCCTCTCTAACTTTATCTCCCAGTTGTTCAACCTGTGCTGTACCTCTAATGACCTCATTCTTAATCTTATCCATCCTTGTCACTCCTAAGGAGAACCTCAACATCTTCATTTCTGCCACTTCCAGTTCTGTCTCCTGTCTTTTTGTCCATGTCTCTGCATATTACTCTTTTGCACCTTAGTCATTTGAAGTTGGCTGCCACCCTTCTGTCACAAATCACTCCTGAAACTTTTCTCCATCCACTCCATCCTGCCTGGACTCTCTTCTTCACTTCTTTACCACATTCCCCATTTTCCTGGACAGTGGACCCCAAGTCCTTGAAGTCCTGCACCTTTGTGATCTCTGCTCCTTGTAGCCTCACTGTTCCACCTGCCTCCCTCTCATTCACACACACGTACTCTGTCTTACTACGGCTGACTTTCATTCCTCTTCTTTCAAGTGCATATCTCCACCTCTCTAAGTTCTCTTCCACCTGCTCCCTGTTCTCACCACAGATCACAACGTCATCTGCAAACATCATCGTCCACGAGGATTCCTGCCTGACCTCATCTGTTAGTCGGTCCATCACCAGAGCAAACAATCGATCAAATAATCTGTTTTTCTGTGAGTAAGAAAATAATGCAGAAGAAGATGTAGTCATATTTAGAAGGACTGAACTGAAACTGGAAGGATGAAGTCAGTCTGCTCTCAAGTTTTAGAAAACAAATCCTTTAGCATCTTGAACCCTTCAAATTAAGTTACTAACATTCATTAGTGGGTCATTGAGGAGCTTTCCACAGGTTTTGGAGAAGTTTTTGCATATTTGAGCCTCATTTGGTCACATTGATTGGGGCGGCTGTGTCTGAGTGGTTAGAGCAGTCGTCCTCCAATGCAAGAGTTGGGGGTTTGAATCCATCAGCAGTCACATGCCAAAGTGTCTCTGGGCAAGACACTGAACCCCTCGTTGCCTTTGATGTGTGTCCCATCAGTGTATGATAAAAGCTCTGATTAGACTCTTTAGAATGATTTGTCCAATTAGTTTTGAATAGATCTAGCAGAGTGCTGTATGAGTGGGTAAATGAGGACACAGATTGTAGTGTAAAGATCTTTTTTCAACCTTTATTTAGACAGGTTAATCCCATTGAGCCTCTGGGACTCATTTACAAGAGAGACCTGATTTCTTAACAAAGAGACAACAGTGAACAACACAACATTTTTGAGTATCTTGATAAGACAGAAAGGTGCTATATAACCACAGTCCATTTATCATTGTTTTAAATACATTTATCAGAAACTTGTCGTACTTTTGTTGCACACAGGTGGTTAAAAAAAGTTTAAACAAATAAAGTTGAAAGTTGAAACTCACTCTGTGTCGTTCAGGACTTCACCATGACTCTGTATCTGCGTCACTACTGGAAGGACGAGAGGCTGTCGTTTCCATCACACAACAACCAGAGCCGGACGTTCGACTCCCGGCTGGTGAAGAAGATCTGGGTTCCTGACGTTTTCTTCGTCCACTCCAAACGTTCCTTTATCCACGACACTACCAACGATAACATCATGCTGCGGGTTTACCCTGATGGAAACATCCTCTACAGTGTCAGGTACAAAATGATGAGGATGCAGCAGATGTGACATCTGAGGAGAAAAACAAAGACCTGACATCCTCTGAAGCCTGGCACAGTCAGTCTTTAACTGACAGACTATTTCTAAACTTTAACCAGAACCACTGAAGGAAGAAATTACTGCAAATTAAGAAATGTAAAGAAACATACCAGAAATCAACACAAACTAGAGAAATGTCATTTCTTGTAAAAATACGTGTGGATGCTGGAAGCTGCTGAAGCTGAAACCAAACTGAAAAGGGATTCATCGATGAACTGTTACTGTAAGTTGAATTTAAAAGCTGACATTTTATGAAAAACTAAAAGCAAAACAGCCTAAAAACCAGTGACGTGCAGTCAGGGGAGGCAGTGTCGCACCTGTCATTATGCCAAGTGAAATACTAACAATGATAAGAGAAAATACATTTGACCACTTGACTGTTCTATAAAACTGTTTTATAAAACAGTTTTATAGAACAGTTTTCTAAATTGTTTGAACACTTCAATGGTGAAAATTGAGGAATTTACGCACTGCCTGTTTAAACAATGTGGTGTGAGGTATTGTAGTGCTGTGGTTCACCTCTGGGGGCGCTGTGTCATAAACAAAATATGAAGTAGGTAGTTGGAGCATGCCCATTGCTCTTTCTTTATATCACCAATATACATGTTTGATTACACATGTGCTGCACATGCTGATGTTCTACAGTCTGTCTGATATATTGAATGAATGTGCGTGACATATTTCTGCTTTTTAATTGGTCATAAATGCACGTTGAAAATAAGCAGGCTGAGGCAAACGATACCTTGCCTCACCGATAGGGGGCAGTGTTGACCCGTAGAGACAATGAAGCAGGTGCAGTCGTCTCTGTGCGTTCTTCTGTTACACAGAGGGGCAGGGGTGGACGATCATATCTCAAAACTAAAGGATTTTTTTTAACCTCATCATCATTTTTGCAAACTTGTTCATCTTAAAATAAAGGCAAGATAATGTTTATTCATTTATTTAAAAATAGAGGAGTATGGAGTTGATTAAAGCATAATTAGATGCCTTTAAAAAAAGGCAAAATTGAAATATAAGCTTCTATTTTGGGTTCATATATGTGAGCATCCAATTCCAGATGAGTCAGTGCCTCACCTCACATCAATGATAAAAACAACAGAAATAGGCAGAAAAGCTGAAACTATCAAAAAGAGTGTGAAATGAGCATAAAAAGTTAAAATTATTAGAAGGAAGTATGGCATAAATTATCACAAAAAAGAGAAAAAAGGCAAAAAAATAGCTGAAAAATACTTAACTAGCTGAAATAGAACAAAAAAACTTAAATTAGCTAAACAAAACTGAAAGGGTTTAAAAAATCTCTTTAAAAACCTGAAATGAGAATTAAAGTTGAAATTATTAGAAAGAAGTACAAAAGGCAGAAAAATTAGCAAAACAGAAGAAAAATGCTTAAATTAGCTGATAAATACTTAAAAACTAGCTTAAATAGGACCAAAAAAGCTGAAATTAGAAGAACAAAGCTGAAAGGATGAAAAAATAGCTTAAAAAAGCTGAAATGAGCAGAAAGAAGCTGAAAAATGCTGAAGCAGAATAAAAGCTGAAATGAGCAGTAAAAGGTTTAAACAGCACAAATGGATAGAACGATGTGAAGAGCTCCATTCATTTTCAGTGAGAAAAACATGGCCGACAAAGTTAAGTGTTTCAAATAATGCTCAAATACTGTAAGTCACTGCAGGAATGTCCTGAATGAGCCGAACGTTTTGACACATGAATTGTTGAAATAGAACAAAAACTGCAGAACAAGTTCTGTGCTGAAAAACATACGAAGGAAAATTGGATATCAATAGTGTGAATTGTTTATAAACATTCTCACAGATATTAATTTAAACAAAAAAGGCAAACATTTTGTGATGCTAGAATCACAAATCTCCTAAAGAGCTCCAAGTCTTTGTAAAACATTTAAACCAACAGCAGATAAACGATAAACTGAAAGCCTCCCTGCTTTTTGCAGAGAAGAACAAGAGTTACGCCGACGTCCCCCATCGCTGAGGGGTTTGAACAATGAATGTTTGTAGTTTTAGAGATTACTGTTTTTCTGGACTGGAATTGAACAGGGAATGAAGTAAACCTACATGTTTTTAGTGTATGATACTGAAGTGGGTAGAGGTTACACTGTTGGTTAAGAACAGAAGTATTCATTTTTCTTGTCTGAGGCAGCACAAAGTGACAGATCTACATATTGGAGGGAGCACTTTTATCCGCAACAACAATGCAATGGTGAAGCAAAGGGGTGACCAATGGTGGCATTGGCCATCACCTTCAGCCACCCCAAAGGTCACCCCATTCATTTGTGGAAACTATACTTTTAAGCATTGTTTCCTCAAATGACAAGGGTGGTCAGTTTACATATATATGGTGGTGGCCATCTTGGATTTTGAATTTGAAACCCAATTTTCGAAAAGAACCTTTATTACACCTGGATGCATCCTAACAACTAAACAGAGGTTGATATTGATGGAGAAAAACATCCTCACTTTATCTCACTTACTCAAAATGATCCACACTCGACAGCATAAGATTTTTAACCAGTTAAAAATAATTTGCAAGGTCCAATTTTCAGGACAGGTCACACAGATACACAGGAAGTACACATGAAGTCCAGTCAGGAGAATCTGCTCTGAGCAGCGTGTGAAGCCTGTTTTTATACTTTTATCAGTTCAGCCCAGCTCACAGACTCTGAGGCGTCCTTGGCTGCCAGCTGCATGCTGCAACCTCACCCAGCTCCTCATCCAGCTCTCTCTGCCACTCCAAATATATGATTCATGGGCAGAGTTAACACTCTTAGCCATAGTAGTTCAAAACATCCATGACCTTTGACCAAAAATTCCTTAACAGATACCTCACTAATTTTTCAAGTTAATCAGCTCGTAAGACTGACAGATGGATGGGTGGTATATCCAATTTCTGCTCTTTGTACCACGACAGGAGACAAAAAAGGACTAACAAACAGCTGTGAAGCCATTTGAAAGTCTTTGTTTCAATATTTTAGCTTTTTTTTTTTTTACCTTGACTCTTACTTTAAATTAAAATCAAAACCTGGAAATATAACTGTATGACAACAGAAAGGCATTGGGAAAAACGTGGAGCTGAGTTTGGTTGAAATGTGTTTTTCAGGGCAACTGTGACGGCCCTCTGCTCGATGGACTTCAGCAGTTTTCCTCTGGACACCCAGAACTGCTCGCTGGAGCTCGAGAGCTGTGAGAAACACAATTTACACAAACTGGACAGATCCAGGTCGTCAGACCAGGGTATAAACTGCTGTCTTTCTGTGTGTGTAGACGCATACAATGAGAACGACCTGATGCTGTACTGGAAGAACGGGAACGACTCCCTGAGGACGGACGAGATTGTCTTGTCTCAGTTCTTCATTGAGAATTTTCATGCCTCTAGTGGCCTTGCCTTCTACAGCAGCACAGGTGAGTCTGTCACCTCCTTTCTTTTGTAAAGGCAGGGGCAACCAAACTTTTTCATATGTAAGCCAAAGCTGTCAAGAAGAAAGGAGTTGTGGGCCAGAACAAAACAAAACAAAAAGTAAAATATAGAGTGTGATTTTTTTTTTATCTCAACAACATCATGAACAATATTTTGGAGAAAGAACAAAAGTTAACTAATTTTGGTGGAGAAGGAGTTCTAAATTGTTGTAAATCCAAAACATAAAAAGCATCATAAACATGTACCTTTTAACTCCTCCTTGAATCGCCACGTTATTGTGGTGGAGGAGTTTGTGTGCCTGATTGATGATAGGAGCTATGCTGTCTGAGGCAATTTTAATTGTCCCTGTTAGGGTCTCCCAAGGCAGATTGGTTCTTTGTGAGAGGCTAGACTAAGAACAATTCCAAAGACTCTTATGGACATAAAACAGCAAGGAACTCTGTGTCCCTTGCCCGGAAGTGGGTTACTGGGGCCCCACCCTGGAGCAAGGCCTGGGGGAGGGGCTCGTTGGTGAATGCCTGGTGACCAGGTCTCTACCCATGAGGCCTGGTCGGGCTCAGCCCAAATGAGCAACATGGGTTTGCCTTCCTGTGGGCCCACCACCTGCAGGAGGGGCCATATGAGTTGGGTGCATGAATCCATGGGCAGTGGCCGAAGGCAGTGGCTGAAGGCAGTGGCCGAAGGCAGGGACCTTGGCACTCTGACCAAGGCCTACCAAAGCTGGCTCTTGGGACATGGAACATGACCTCTCTGATGGGGAAGGAGCCTGAGCTTGTGTGTGAGGTTGAGAGGTACCAACTACATATAGTTGGGCTCACCTCGACACACAGCATGGGCTCTGGAACTGATCTCCTTGAGAGGGGCAGGACCTTATTCCACTCTGGAGTTGCCCATGATGAGAGGCGCTGAGCTGGTGTGGGTATACTCTTAGCCCCTCGACTTGGTGCCTGTGTGTTGGAGTTTTCCCCGGTAGATGAGAGTGTAGCTTCCCCATGCCTTCAGGTGGGGGCACAGGTTCTGACTGTTGTTTGTGCCTATGTGCTGAATGGCAGCTCAGAGTATCCAGCCTTCTTGGAGTCCTTGGCAGGGGTGCTGGAAGGTGCACCAACTGGGGACTTATTTATTCTGCTGGGGGACATTTTCAATGCCCATGTGGGTAATGACAGTGTGACCTGGAGGAGCGTGATCGGGAGGAATGGCCTCTCTGATCTGAACTTGAGTGGTGTTCTGTTGTCTAGTCATTGTTTGTCCATCACAAACACCATGTTCAAACATCAGGGTGTTCATAAGTGCACTTGGCACCTGGACGCCCTAGGTCATAGATCGATGATTGACTTTGTAGTCATTCATCTGATTTGGGGCCATTTGTTTTGGACATTCGGGTGAAGAGAGGAGCTGAGCTGTCAACTGATCACCACCTCTAGTAGTGAGTTGGAGCAGATGGCAGGGGAAGAAGCCAGACAGAACCGGTAGACCCAAACATGTAGTGAGGGTTTGCTGGGAATGCCTGGCAGAAGAACCCATTAGAAAGATCTTCAACTCAAATCTCAGGAAGAGCTTTAACTGCATCCCAGCTGAGGCAGGGAACATTGAGTTTGAGTGGGCCATGTTCCACAACACAATTGCTGAAGTGGCTGCCTTGAGCTGTGACCATAAGGTTGTTGGTGCTTCTTGCAGTGGCCATCCTCGAACTCAGTGCTGGACATCCCAGGTTCTGGCAAACCATCAGGCGGCTGAGGAGGGGAAATCAGCATTTTACTAACACTGTATTCAGTGAAAGTGGAGTGCTGTTGACCTCAACCAGTGATGTCGTCGGGAGGTGGAAGGAATACTTCTTGGACCTTCTCAATCCCGCTGGCACGTCTTCCATGGAGGAAGCGGAGTTGCAGGACTTTGGGCTTGGTCTGTCCATAATCGTGGCTGAGGTCGCCAAGATAATTAAAAAGCTCCACGGTGGCAGGGCTCCAGGGGTGGATGAGATTAGTCCTGATTTCCTAAAGGCTCTGGATGTTGTGGGGCTGTCTTGGTATTGACACACCTTTGCAACATCACATGGACATCTGGTGCATTGTCACTGGATCGGCAGACTAGAGTGATAGTTCCCCTCTTCATAAAGTGGGACTGGAGGGTGTGTTCCACTTACAGGGGCATCACTCTCCTTAACCTCCCTGGTAAGTTCTATTCAGGGATACTGAAAAAGCGAGTCCAATCGTTGGTCGAACCTCAGACCCAGGATAAACAATGCGGGTTCTGTCCTGGCCCTGGAACACTGGACCAGCTCTTTACCCTCACTAGGGTCCTTGAGGGGTCATGGGAGCTTGCCTATCCAATCTACATGTATTTTGCATACTTGGAGAAGGCATTTGACCATGCTCCTCAGGGTACACTGCGGGGGGTGCTCCATGAGTGTGATATTGCAGGCCCATTGTTCCAGGCTGTTCGGTCTCCATACAAGCGATGTGAGAGTTTGGTTTGCATTGCTGGTAGTAAGTTGAACCCCTTCAGGGTGGGAGTTGAACTCTACCAGGGCTTCCCATTGTCACTGATTCTGTTCATATCTGCTCATATTGACAGAATTTTTTGGTGCAGCCAGGGGGTGGAGCGATTCTGTTTCGGTTGCCTCAGGATTCCATCTCTGCTCTTTGCAGATGATGTGGTCCTGTTGGCATCATCGTGCTGTGATCTTCAGCCCTCACTGGAGCGGTTCACAGGGGAGTGTGAAATGACTGGGATGAGAATCAGCACCTCCAAATCTGAGACCATGGTCCTCACTCGGAAAAGGGTGGATTGTTCACTTCAGGTTGAGGGTGAGATTCTGCCTCAAGTAGAGGAGTTCAAGTATCTTGGGGTTTTGTTCACAAGTGAGGGAAGAATGGAGGGTGAGATTGACAGATGGATTGGTGCAGCGTCTGCAGTATTGCTGACTCTGTACCAGTCCATTGTGGTGAAGCGTGAGCTGAGCTGTAAGGCAAAGCTCTCTGTTTACTGGTCAGTCTGCATTCCTACCCTCACTTATGGCCACAAGCTCTGGGTAGTGACCGAAAGAAAGAGATTGCGGATACTGGCAGTTGAAATGAGTTTCCTCTGCAGGATAGCTGGACTCTCCCTTAGAGATAGGGTGAGAAGTTCAGTTATCTGGGAGAGACTCGGAGTAGAACCACTGCTCTTCCACATCGAGAGGAGCCTGTTGAGGTGGTTCAGACATCTGGTAAGGATGCCCCCTGGGTGCCTCCCTAGGGAGGAGACCCCGGGGAAGACCCAGGACACACTGGAGAATTAGTCTCTTGGTTGGCCTGGGAATGCCTTGGGGTCCTACCAGAAGAACTAGAAGGGGTGGCTGTGAAAAGAGATGTCTGGGCCTCCCTGCTCAAGCTGCTGCCCCCGCGACCCATCTTCAGAACAAGCAGAAGATAATGGATAGATGGATGGATGAATATTTAATTTATATATGTTGGGTTTATTGTTTTTTGATTTCTTGTGTTTTTAACGTTCATTTAAAATTTCTGAAAAATTGTCCAGCTGGCCTTCATTAAAACAGGTAGAAGATTTAAATGGACACTAATTGTCATGAACCAGAGGCCAGATCGCAAACAACAACATCAACCACTGAGAGGGTTAAAAGATTTATTGTGAAATAAAGTAAAACCCTGGAGTAGGTCCGGTTCTGGGCTGGTTCCGATCTTCTGATTGGTAGTTCGTGATTGGGTAGTGTTGAAGTGGCGGGCTGCCAGTAGAAGTAGA